AAAATCGGGATCTTTACAATACATTCAAGGAGCAGGTATAAATAAATGGAAAATAAATGGAATAAGTATACGAGTGTGTTCCAACCAAGTGTCAACAATCACCTATATATAAGTACATATACATATGTTATAAAATTTTAAGGGTCTGAGAGCTTACATGTTGAATGAGAGCTTTGAATCTGACAAAAATGGAAAGAGATGTGAATCTGATAAAAAATGTAAAGAGATGTGAATATGTAGATTATTAATAGAGCACTTACTGAGACTGTTGTGGGAAAAATAACTTGTAGGTAGATACCTACCTCGTGACCGGAATGAGTGATGGAATAAAGGATGCTGTGGAGTGTGCTCTACTAAGGGAGACAGGGTGAAGGAGTGAGGGGTGCGGGGAAATGACTTTCTCGGGGATAAAATACTCACTACGAGAGTATTTTCCCTGCTGTATTTTATTAAAGTTTCATATTCATATTTGAACTGTGTTATTTGTAGACAATTTTGCGACTGTATGAGGTATATTATCAAGCCTCTGAATGAGACAATTTTCTAAAGTATGACTAAAATAAAAAAATATCTTATTTTAAACATTTTATTTTATTTTATTTATTATAAATGTTTTTATACGTGTAATTTACATTCCTTATTCTAATTATAAGGGAAAGTAATTACTGAAGTACTATTTCATGATCATTTCAAAAAATTCTCAATTATAATTGTTAGCATAGATTCATAATATATATATTATAATAAGTTATTAACAATAGATGTATGTATTTAGTGAGGCGACATTATTAGGGATATTTATTTCGTTAAAGTATTTAATGTTATTTAGTTTATGTAAAAATATTTCAATAAGTCCATTTTAAAATTTATTAAAGTGTTTATCGATTTACATAGCGATGGATACAACTTGGATTGCGGTATCACTAGAGTTTAAACTATTTATAACAGCCGCACCGCTTTATTTTCTTTTTCTATCCCTACATCAATATTTTAACCCCCGACGGAAAACGAGGGTGGGCTTCTTTATCATCCACGGGCGTTATACGCCTTCTATACAAAAAATAACAAGTTTTAAATTTCTATATCGCGTGTTGCCTATTTATGAAATTGTAAAGCAAACCGCATAGTTTAATACTTTGTGTATAAAATTATCGTATCAGAGTTATATTTTAATATTATCGTTGTATTGTGTACATATATTTCGTTTACTGACCAATGTAAAATACTTATACGTCAAGTTATAATATACGGTACAGATTTTTTTACAAATTTAATATAGTTATAGTTATAATTATATATATGTATCCATATGTCACTTAATTATGGTATATGTACATCGGTAAAAATATTTGTTAGTATAGCGTTTAAGTTAATAATTAATAGCTTCATTTATTCAGCGTAGAAACTATGATATCTATAAAATTTCGTTTTTGTGATCATATCTTTTATTTTTATATACATAGGTAAACCCTAAAAAATAGGTATTTAAAAACATTTGTTGTACCTATATAGTAGATTAGACTCGATCCAAAATATTTTTTCGTGTTAGTTCGATTTATGGGAATTCCATATGAATTTTTATTAAATAGCCAAATTACACAATACTACCATAATAATTAAACTTACGAAAGAATAGAAAAGAAAAGAATAATGTTTTAAATTCACATGTTTAAGTCTAAAGTAATTGGTTAAGTTTTAAGGTCGATACCGATGTGATCAGCCACTCTTATCTTTGGTTGTTGCTCAGGGATCCATTACCATGGCAATGCATCGATTAAACTCACCTTTATTTAGGATACCTATCTCCACTGTCAATAATAAGTACCTAATGAGTATTGATTAATACTACATACAAACTTATATAATTATATATCACACTTGTCTATTACTAAGGTAGATTTAATTTAGGAATGCTAGTACACTGATTCATACTTGTATATTTGTGATTAACTTATGTGTTACTAGCTACTCGCCCCGGCTTCGCACGAATGTACATGTATTATTTTCCATATATAAATCTTCCTCTTGAATCACTCCATCTATTAAAAAAACCGCATCAAAATCCGTTGTGTAGTTTTAAAGATTTAAGCATACATAGGGACGTACAGATAGCGACAGCGACTTTGTTTTATACTATTTAACGATTAAGATTAGGTCTTAATGGTTATTGCAAATGCAGTCACTGTTATATGGCACATTATTCTCGGAGTATAGAATACATAAAATATACTTTTCACCAGTTGAAATATTTTCTATAGCATTAAAAAATAGAAAAGAAGAAAGTAGCATTCTACGTGCTCATTAAGGTCACAGTGTTCTAAAATTTTCCTATAGTTTCCTGTATATACATATAATTATCTGATTACACATGTCATTTACATGTTTATAGTTTGTTGAAAAGAATTGACTTTCGAGGTTTACCTACTTCAAAGTAATGGCTAAATGTATAACATATGTGTTAAACGACTCTACTATGGTAATATTTCATAACCATAAAAATAATCAAGCATGCTACCTGTCTGCACTATTAAATGTCTGTGGGATCAGGAGTATCAAATATACACTGAGAAACCTGTAACACTTCAACGGGAAGTACGCACCCTACGTTTGTTTGCGGCATTGTGACTGAGTTGTTGCGGTCTTTTGCAAAGGTTTTTTTAAGTAGAGGTTATTGGTGAGTGGACAGCTCCTTTTTCCAAGTCGGAAGTGTTTCCTATCGTATGAGGTATATGTAGGACTTGGTTACTATATAATATATTTTTATAATTTTAAAAGAGCAATTGCTAAATTAAATTTGGCGAGAAACAATATTTCAACTGATATTTATATATTAATGTCATAATGTACGCCTTGAAATTTTCAAAAGGAAACTTAGCCCTTTTTAAATATTTCTATATTTAAAAAGTAAAACTAGGATTTTTATTGTGATCATTGTCTTGATTTTATACAATCATAAAAATAATGTATGTGTTCAGATCCATTGCATAAGTATTTTTCTGTATATTTACTGTAGACACAAATAAAAGAATATATGTTATTTATTTTTCAAAGCAATGTCAGACATTTGATTAAAGAGCTTCAATCTAATATTGAATTCAATAAGGGACGAATTGCTCCAACGATGAGGCAAGGTTTTCCAATTGTCTATAACTCTGTAACTAATGCAATTAAAATTTTTCGATACTCGTTTCGTAAGGGATTTATTTACATTATTAAGGATTTTTCATTTATTTTTTTGCCTAATATAACTGAAATTAGATTTTCCTGTTGCGTCTTTGCTGACTTGTAGGTATTGGTATCACATTACATCTTGATGCTTTAACCTTTTAGAAATGACATCATTATACAACAAAAATTTTAGTAGCGATTTTCAGAACACAATATTTAATCGAAAAACCTTAATTAAAAGAAGACTGAAAATAAATGAAGTAAAAGAGATGTAAAAGTAGCTATTTTTTATTAAGTGGCCCCAAAGTGCATAAAATAGAAGAATAAAATTGTTCGAGACCCCAGAGACTAATACCGTTAAATGAAAGTTTGCTGAGGTCTCGAATGTTTTAATTTTTTATACATTTAAGGCCACTCGATAAAAAATACAGACCATTATTTCTCTTTTATTTAAAATTTTAATAGTATAGGTATTATTCACAAGTATGTACATGTCGTATAAATTAAAATAATAAAGTAATATTTTCTTTATGTAAAATCTTTTTTAATTCTCACATTCCAATAATTTATAATATAATAATATTAAAAAATATGACTAGTTATTTGATTAAATAATTAATAGTTTTCTACTGCCGAATTATTGTTGTTATTCGTAATATATATAGTTATAAACATTTTAAATTTAGAACAACAGACTAATATAAAAGTCCGTTATCTTTCCAAAATTTAAAGGAGTAATTAAGTCACTAGATACCCATATTTCTGCCTTCACCAGTTATATTTTTTTTTGACTGTATGGCAAACAAGCTGATGTCTCAGGCGCTAATACACCTACATGAATAGCACTACGGACATCACGTTATTATGTGACACCCGTGATACAGATCATGCGTTGCCATTACTCAGTGGACTTATATACATTTTTTAATTCCGCTACTATCAGCAGGTGTAAGTATATATTCAATGCGGTTCAAACCTGACCACGGCTACTAAAAGCGTTATAATCTTCTCTATTAGTGATCAAATGCCGATCGTTATTGAATCTACACCCATATTATAACAAGTGCTTCGCCTCTGAACGAGGCATAATCCGACAATTAATAGAGATTGGAAGCCTAGTATACTATTCGGCGACCAGACTATGACTATTGTAGTAATGTAATTTAATTAAATATGGACTCTATTTTCCGCATTTAGCCTCTCGTCTGGGTCGTTGTGCACACTGTCGTAGTTTATAGGAGTCGTAGTCTAGTCTGGTCTGGTCCATTAAGTAAGGAAATGGACTTCCGCAAAATAACACCTAATTCAATAAAATACACATATCTTATCCTGTAATTTCACTGATAATAATAATCTGTACCCTAGAACAAAAACACAATGGGCAAAGAAAGCAGCTTGGCAGGACACAGACCATCATCCTAGGATCTGTATAAAATTATATATAAATATGGCAGTAGTTTACTCACTAGATACCCATATGGCTGCTCTCAGCAATTACCTATTGTTAGTGTTAGTGCACAGTGGAGCACAAGGCAATTTATACACGCCACTCATTTCATTACACACAGATAAGGGTCTCGTGAATATTTGCGCTCAATTTGACACATTTATGTTTTCCCATATAGAAATGTCAGGACAGAAGTTGTACAAAAGATAAGCCACCGGTATATAAATATGTCTTAGTCCAAGAATTTCTAGTTATTTTTAGTATTGGATGAAACATTTATGGTGACAATAACATGTTTTATTTAACAAAAAGCAGTAACTATTACAATACGGGATTCGATATTATAAATGCGAATGTATGTAATGTGTTATATATACAATCTCACCTGTATTCGGTGCATCCGCCCACAGTCAGCAACTGTAACAAAAACAAAAGACATTGTATTATAATTTTTCAAGTCTCGAAGGGTTAGTTTTTTCTACTAATGTTTTCAATCCAGTCCAGAGCTTTTCAGGAGAGCCCTTGGGAAATCGTTCAACGTCTTCGGTTGATAAAAATCTAGCAAATAATTTATTATTTTGCACACACTACACAAACAATTGTATACATGGTGAACTCAATGCCTGATACCATTTACCAGTCTACCGTAGCACTGATAATAAAACCACAGATAAGATAATATTACATAATAAAACGATATATAATTGTATAATATAAGGGTAAGCATCCTTATAGATAAAGTGTAATAGTGTACAATCGGGACGGTAAGTATGAAAATATTAATTACATAATCAAGTTTTTTGTTCATAAGCGCCTAAAATATCCTACATGACTAAATTATTTTTTTAATTTTAATAGGTACTTCTTTATATAAATAAAATCCGTATTTTCAAGACTGGACATCATATTACGATAATACCCTGTCAACAAATATCAGAGATTTAAAAATAAAATTCGAAAAATGAATTTAATAATTAAAGCAACATATCGTCGACAGTATGTCAATTTCTACATTATCGTTATTGGATTAGATAATTTCATTTCTGAGCATACAGACACAGTACAGCATGTTCGGACGATACACGCGACAGCTGCGAGTGTCGTTTGTGTCGCATGATTGATTGGTGCCGCTACGCCGCCGCCGCCGCCGCTCCGCAGTCGCGCGGCTTCGCCGGCTGTCCTGACCACGCGGCCACACGTCGATCGCAGCTTGTCTCACTGGGAACTGGGTGGAGTTCAGGGTTGCCAATGTAAAATACTTAGCCACATACGAAGAAATAAAACAATCTCATAAAATGTCCTTTATTAGCCAATTTGGCTCTCTAACATCGTACATTCTTCGATCAAAATCTCGTACAAACTTGTACGAGAATAAGACCATATCGTACTGAGATCAAAAATAAGAGGTTCCTATTATGCGGTAGCCCTTGTGGAGTTTCAACCCAATATTTAATTTCACAGACTTGTCTGTAACTGAAATAGAGAATGAAAAATGGCTTGACAACGCATCAGTATACTTACTCGTAAGTTAAGTATACTGATAGACATTTAGCCATGTATCACTAGTAATCTCTACTTTCTATAAAGGTAGATTCTGCCTATTTTTTTAATTTAAACGATTCTACCATTTACCATACATATTTCGTTAACTTATATAGATTTCCTGTTGATTTATTAGAAATGTAATTGTACAATTCTGCAATAACTATGTAATAAATAGTAAAGCTTTATCTTTATTTATTGACAATTTTTGACCCAAGAATAAAATCGCCGCTATAATTAACCCAAACGAGTTGAAAGTAAGATACAAGTTATTTTTATATAATGTCACTGTCAGTGATCAATAAATGTTAGTCAGACATCATCGGAATGCGCTAAAAAAGTGTATAACAGCGCTAAAGATTGTCACCGATCAGCCACATATTCTGTCACGGTGATTTGTCCGGCACGCGCATCGTTTCTCATTAATGTTAGACAGACAGATTATTATATTTTTTGTTTTAGTTGCATACCAACTTGCTTCTTTAGAAATTCTGACATCGTCATTTGATACAGATTAAGATTTAGAAAATTAGCATTTTTGGTAAAGGTACAATCTGTTACTTTGAGTCTACATTGTACCTTGCTGCTGTATGGACTGACATTGTCAACATTTTTCTTTTGTCTTCCAAAAGTTTTCTTTTGGAATACATTATTTTGGAAGGCTTTCATTAAATTTTTTCGAGAAAATTAGCTGTGGTTATCACCAAACAAGAATTTGAAAGTGACGTTCGATGTTCGTTATGCTTCCTGAAAATATTGGAATAGGTTACAATATAATTTTCTAATCGGGTAATTTATAATCCAAATTTAAAAAATGGTTGTATATTTTCTCATAATTTACAGAGCGAATTAGGATGTAGTTGTCTTTCTCCATTGTTTTAAGTCGAGTCGGACATCGAGATATTTATTAATTGGTTAGTTAATTAGGGAAATAAAGACTATATCATACATACCTATTGCTCGCTAAGAAGATACAAAGTATCAAAAAGCTTATTCTAAGATAAGGTATGTTGTATGTACATTTAAATAGTTATCTCGTTTTATCTCTGAGCTTGCCATTTCAGACATCACTGTTGTTGACTGTTGCCGTTGTGGTAAACGTAGCACTTAATTTAGGGCATTTAACTGCTTACGTAATGTAGATTAACATAAGCTAGTTTATAATATCTAAAACATGTATATATTCTCCAAATATTATCTTATACGTGGGAACTATGTAAATGAGTGTAACATTAACATCCGTATGTGGAAACTAAATATTAATTACGTACTCTGTTTTGCATTTAACGCTATGTTTATGTTTAGTTTGTATCTACTTATATATCTATTTAATAGATTCCAGCCTCCGCCCTTTCCTATTTGTATATAATATATATTAATTTATAATTATCATTAAATAAATATATAAAATTATCATCATTTGTCAACATCTTATGAAGAAATTATTATTTGTATAATTAATATTATTTTACATTTTTTTTTTATACTACGGGGCGAACAAGTATATTTTTATACAATATTAAATATTGTATAAAAATATTCTAGATCTTAAGATTTCAACACGCTAGCGGCCCGCCCCAGCTTCTTCAAATGGGTACTTACAAAATTATTATTATTTCAATTTTTAAAAGAATTTTTCAGATCAATTCATTACTTTCGGAGACTATTCAATACAAATAAAGAAATAATCGAATCTTCTCTCGGTATAATTTTGTTACTGCGTAAAATAAAAATGCACATGAGTGAGGAGATACATGGGTATCACCTCACTTGACATAGGATAGGGTAGGATATTTTTCTTATGAAAAATGTTTGTAGTAATTTACATTAATATTTCCTTTTATTAAACCATTTAGTTATTATTGAATTAATGGTAATGTACCATGTATAAATATAAAGTCAATTTGCTCCACCAATTGCTAAACCAAGTTAAAGCAAAATTTTACAGGTAAAAAAATATTATTGCTCTCACTATTCTCATTCATATTGCATGCATTGAAATTTTAAGTTCTATTATAGATTAATAACTATTTCAAACTTCAATTCCTTTTCTTTTTCCTATATTACTAATGTCTAATATCATTACTTACCTAAATTATAATATATATTGTGTATAATTTATATAATGAGCTGTTTGAGATATATTTTGGTGGGAGTTATGCAGACCACATACAATATACATATAACATGAAACACAGGAAATATATCATGACATTTACTAGATTGTAATGTAGGTTACTTTGCCAGCCAATATAAATGAATATTCGGGGTTCATATCTACAAAAACCACGTTGGGAATCATTGTTCCAAATAAACGTATCGGCCATTCACAGGATGAAAGGGTACAAACATGCAACGTAATCAACTCGACTGGTTTTAATCATCGAGGGTCGTACAGCTACATTCTACGTAATACATTGCAAACGTGAACGTTTTAATTCTGCCTTTTATCAGATTAGTCCTGTGACACGAGCAAATATATGTACACTCGCGTCTAAATATCCGGTGAGGGGATTAATGTCACAGATGCGGTCATCATTTCGTTAATCCAAATGTTGTGGCCATTAACTTATATGTTGTCGTTCTATAATTGTGTAAAACATAAACTAACAAAATTTGGAATTTAAAAAATTCAACAAATTATTTTCCATTTATTTCCACCTATGTAAATTGTATATACAAAGTCATGGGTACCTATTTCTGACATCAAGCAACTTGCCTTGTAAACTGTTACTATTTGATGCTTGTAATACAGAGTATGGAGGTATGATACCTTACTCAGGAATAGTAACTAAGATTACCTATTCGGGGATACACATGGTAATGTTATATCCGGTAAAATCTACGATTGTAACTCTCTACCAAGGAGGCCGGTTACCTTCTTTGTTTAAATTAAATAAACATTAAATATTTGTTTATCTTATAACAATAGTTATAATTATATACTGTGAGACTTAGGATCTCTTCCTATACCAAAAATGAAGTGGTCAGTGCTAAGTGGTGATTTATGGTATAAGGATGCTATAAAACATTATGAACAGTAACTAAATGTGTATTTTACATTAATTATGAATGTGTGTAGTTGCTAAACTCGTGAGTGTGTTAGGATATGATATTAAAAGCTTTTCAGAGGAAATGGCTCCCAGTGGCGGCGGATCGCAGTGCCGCAGCAAAGACACGCTCTTCTATTTATTATAATATTTCTTTTTACTAACTACTTCGTTTATTTTATACAGCACCTGGAATCATACTCTTTTATACATACATATGTATGTACAAGAGTTTATTTCATTTGCACGTAATATAGGCCCTGAGGAGACACTCTACGCTACGAGAACTAGGCCTTTAGATCTGCTATTGGAATCTATGATGTATGGATAATAATGTTTATTTTTAATATTTTAATATTTAATAACAATAATGATTGTATTTATACAATGACAATTTGGTAAACCGGTTTGGTATTTCATTTTCTGTAAATATTTCTTTATGTTTTTAATTCCATTTAATTTTGTCTATTCTATTATTAGTAGCACAGTATATACTGCGGTTAAATATAGCGATTTATCGTTGTTGTTGCTTTGCTATGATTAAAATATCAATAAGAACTACATTAGTTAGACATTAATTATTTTTACAATGCAAAATACATTCCAGATACCTTCATTCGTTCAGTTTCAGGAAATATACATTTCCCTCTGGCGTAAATGTGCTAAGTACCACAAAAAGAGAATAAATCAAGTCAGATACTGCTCGGTATAAATAAACGTAATTTACGGTTGCGTTTTCGCATTCTCAAAATAATATTATCGCAAGGAATTAATAACTTTATAAATAATAATATACTTTATTGCCAAATATGGTAGATAAAATGT